CTCCCCTCCATCATCAAGATTTATAAAAAATTCATACGGGCGCCATCCCTATGAATTCTATCCTTGCTTCCAACTCCTATCTCCTAACGGGGTATCAGCTTCCCTGAAGTGGTGAACCGCGGAAAATTGTACCAGATCCGAAATCACGACTACAACCCTTCTCCACCTGATACTAATCTGAGACAGCCAAGTAATACGTACTAATCCAGAAGTCAATACTTCTTGCAAATTTTTTTCACATTTATAGGTTCTTGAATTTCTGGTAACAGTCAAAACACTACAGTAGTGGAGGATAAGCAGATCAAATCTCACAGTCTCCTGAATCTTAAAATCTTACAATCTCATGGGAGTGTTCCCGTTCAACTTTTTCAATAGTAAATTAGTACTGGCTTATTTACTGCACTAAAAGAGATATAAATAATAATTTACGGCTGTTAGAAGACCGAGCCGTAGTCTTAAAAACAATAAAAAACAAGTGAACGGTGCAAAAGCAAACTTGCTGTTTAAGTAATTAATTATGAAATTGGGGATTGAATTTTTGCCCGCTTATTGCCTTTCCGGATATTCCTGAGCGCCTTAGCCTCTCAGTATGTAGTGTAGTGGCAAGCAGCGTAACTCTCGTCCCTCAGCACCGAAAGTTCGACTCCGCCAGCGGGACAACTGACTGTTTCAAAATTCCTTAAACATTTTAATGGTAAATTGGTATCGATACAAGCCAAGCATTTATCAACAACTTAAAAGGCAGCCACTGACAGCATTCTTGCCGGAAGTTACTGCTGTGGTATCACTCGGGCTAGTTCCTCAGTTCTGTCAGGAAGAGTGGATTACGGAAGGATCTCGACTATGAATTTGAGCAAAATTTCAAGCCCGCTTCTTCCCCTCCCCTTCTTGTTTCTTTCTGTGATTTGCCTTTACCTGGAATTATGGAGGGGTCATGATTTTAAATTTTTTCGGCCAAAATTCTAAGCTTGTTCCTCATCTCTCTCCTTTTTCTGCGATTTACCTTTTCTTTCAGAAAATTCCAATTTCTGCTGCTGTATTTCGTTTCTACCTTGTTCATTCCTCGTTCATTGTGCAATGGACGACATAAGCCACAAAAAAAAATGGCACTTACCTGATGAAATATCGCTGACAAAAAGCAGGCGAAAAAGAAACCGTGCAGCAAAGACGTTTCACCGCATGCATAACAACGTAAAGCATCCAAAATGAGTGACCAATGTGAAAGACGTGATCTGTGACAATTGCCTCAAATCGATCAATTTTTGAAGTATTCTGAGCTGATCGTGGCGGCAAAGAGAAGTGCACAAGTTAGCACGTGCGAAAGTGCAAGACGAGATGTACGAGGAAAAAACACGTGAAATGCGTGAAATGTGCAACCTCCCAGTCAGGCCATTTTTATTTCACTAAAAATAAGGGCCAAATTGAAGGGCATAATTTTCTTCCCAGTGTCATTATTATTATTATTATTATTGTTATTATTATTATTATTGTTATTATTATTATTATTGTTATTATTATTATTATCATCATCATCATCATCATCGACATCGCCATCAGTATCATTATTACTATCATCACTAGCGCTACTATTATTATTCCAAAGCGGACAAAAGTTGAAGATTATTACCCAGTCTGAAGGGTCAGTCGTTGAAAAAGGTTTGGAGAGGAGATTGACGATGATTTTGATCGATTGTAGCTCAGTTCCGGCAGGAAGGTTGGCTGCATTGTATGGCCAATCAAACGAGCTAACTGTTGCACTGCAAAAACCCAAGCGAGAACGCGCACCAGGCGGGCCGGAGCGATTATGCGTTTTTGCACTTTCGTACCGTAGCAAGATCGCAAGGAGTAAGTGTAGCTACCAGGCGGGCCGGTGCGATTATGCGTTTTTGCACTTCTCGTGCCGTAGCAAGATCGCAAGGAATCACAATAGCTAACCTTGTACTGACCCTCGAAGTTCGAGAAGTTAATTGTGCAACTATGTGGTATGTCAGTTGTAGATGTCGGTACTCGAAGTTCGAGAAGTTAATTGTGCAACTATGTGGTATGTCAGTTGTAGATGTCGGTTTCAGTGAACCAGCAAATGGAAAAGGTGCTGGTCCGCAAAAAAAGCCATATCCAAAAGAGTTAAATTTGAGATCTTTTAGTCGTACATAAGTAGGGAATATTCCCTTAAAATTAAAGCCTTGAGCTTATCTCGTTCCGAATTGGCAGTTTTCCTACCAAAATTTCCACGTGTCCCCACGTGATTGCGGGACGGTTTTAAGGAGATGAGTTTAAAATC